CAGCTCTGAGCAGACAGAATTAGTTAACAATGCATTACCTGCCTTTTATGGCAGCTATAACTCTCTGCCCTGGTCAGTAGAAGATATTAATGGAGGGAGGAATGGAAGGATGGAGGAGGGAAGTGAAGGTTGGTCGCATTCCCGCCAAGGGAGAGGCGGGGGAGGGAGACTATGGGCCCTGGTCAAAAGTAATGCACGTCATAGGGACGCAGGCTTAGACTGGAGATGCTGGGTCTCTCTGTTGCCTTCTTTACTGCACATTAAACATGATAGCGAGTCAAATTAGAGCATCACGCTCTAGCTGTGAGAAGCTAATGCCAGAGCTGAGTTCAAATACTATTTAAAATCTTTCACACTTTTTGAACGCTTGCTCTAAGCTGCCTGGAGTGCCAGATTGTGCCTTTTTGGACTATTCTGTTGGTCCATTAATCCAGGAAAGATCAATCAAGCACAGTCTGCACAGATTAAATACATTATTTCAAATAGTAATTGAACCCAGGGTGTGCCTTTTTGGTGTGCAGGCAGGCTATGGCCATAATGTCTTGTTGCAACAATGACACACAGTACAACAGCTGGAGGACAGCTGTGCAGACCTGATCAGAACACCAGTAAGACCAGCAGAAATGGCATTAGTCTCAGAGATACTCAGACACACAGCCCCTATTGAAATACAGTATCAGAACTTCTAAACATTTAACAAAATAAAATAATATATTCTGTATAAATTCAGTGGCAGTGTGTGTATGTGCATAATATGTCTGTGTTGTTGAACAGACCATGCAACACTGATCAAGCCCACTGCAGTCATCCTTCCCTTCCCCCGACTCTAGCAACCACAGCTGCACAGTAGCCCCCTCCACACTCATTTGTGATGATGTGCAGCAAGACAACCAACCGCTGCCACAGGCAATGCCCTCTGGAACTCATTTACACTGAAAGTGAATGATACTCATACTGCACCGGCTGTGCTTGTGGAGGCTGGCGCAAGCACACAAACACTTTATAGTCCCTGTGCTCACTCCGTTTCTCAGGTCTGCTTACTCCATGACATCACTGCAACAATGATCACCTAAAATCCAGGTATTGTATTTTTACAGTACACAAATAACTCAGACGCACAACACTGAGCTGAAATATTAGTCTGATTTAGCTAGACAGCAAATTCTCGTCTGTAGTCCCTGGCTGATTTGACTCAACCCGCTCTGTTAGCCTGATCATATTTTCCCAGATGCCTCAGTGTTTATACACCACACACACACCATGGGCAGAGGGCTCCCCTGGTCCTAAGGCTGCTTCTCCAGAAGTGTGCACTTGTTCACTCCAACTCGCGCAGTTAATAACATTGGATTGGTGGAAGCATGGCTGTAGGGCTTTTCCACCATATTCCTTACTCCAGTCCATTCCGTTTAAAGCAATGAAGGTGGGTGCACACCTTGGAAGAAGGACAGAGAATAGGAACATAGCCTGAGAGTACTACAACTCTCCTCTCCCAGTTCTTCAGCAGAGAGCAGACAACGCCAGGCTCCATTAAATCCCCTGCTGTTCACTCCCTCTGCTGGGCTTAATGGTCCCACAGGCTGGACAATTAACTGGTGACCTTTGCATTCCATTTGGAGTGGAAGAGCTTTTCTTTTTTTTGCTGGGAAAATTCCACTATCCAGATGTAGCTTTGCAGCAAAAACAGACTGGAAGAGGGAAAGGAAGGGAGACCTAGAGATCTGATTGTTCCAAGGGGCAGAGATCTAATTACCTGACCACCATGTAATGGAAGCAGGAATAAGTTGTCTAGGCCCTAGTTGTAGCCTTTAATATACAAGACATTAAGAACACCTGCTCTTTCCATAACAGACTGACCAGGTGAATGCTATGATCCCTTATTGACATTGCTTATTAAATCCACTTCACTCAGTGTAGATGAAGGGGAGGAGACAGGTTAAAGAAGGATGTTTAAGCCTTGAGACATGGATTGCGTATGTGTGCCATCCAGAGGGTGAATGGGCAAGACAAAAGATTTAAGTCCCTTTGAACGGGGTATGGTAGTAGATCCCAGGCACATCAGTTTGTCTCAAGAACTGCAACGATGCTGGGTTTTTCAACGCTCAACAGTTTCCTGTGTGTATCAAGAAGGTCCACCACCCAAAGAACATCCAGCCAACTTGACAACTGTGGGAAGCATTGGAGTCAACATGGGGCCAGCATCCCTGTGGAATGCTTGACACCTTGTAGAGTCCATGCCCCGACGAATTGAGGCTGTTCTGAGGGAAAAGGGGGGGAGGGGGGGTGCAACTCAATATTAGGAAGGTGTTCATAAAGCTGCCTCATACAGCCCCGGTGGAAGAGAATATTCCATTGAATTAATTCATATATAAATTAGTTTTTGAAAACAGTCAGACTACACATGTATCAACTATTCATAAACTCAGCAAAAAAAACATTTTTCAGGACCCTGTCTTTGTAAAAATCAAAATAACTTCACAGATCTTCATTGTAAAGGGTTTAAACACGGTTTCCCATGCTTGTTCAATGAACCATAAACAATGAATGAACATGCACCTGTGGAACGGTCGTTAAGGACAGTAACAGCTTACAGACGGTAGGCAATTAAGGTCAGAGTTATGAAAACTTAGGACACTAAAGAGGCCTTTCTACTGACTCTGAAAAACACCAAAAGAAATATGCCCAGGGTCCCTGCTCATCTGCGTGAACGTGCCTTAGACATGCTGTAAGGAGGCATGAGGACTGCAGATGTTGGCCAGGGCAATAAATTGCAATGTCCGTACTGTGAGACACCTAATGGAAACAGGACAGAAAGCTGATCAACCTCGCAGTGGCAGACCACGTGTAACACCTGCACAGGATAGGTACAGCCAAACATCACACCTCCGGGACAGGTACAGGATGGCATCAACAACTGCCCGAGTTACACCAGGAATGCACAATCCCTCCATCAGTGCTCAGGGCTGTCCGAAATAGGCTGAGAGAGGCTGACTGAGGGCTTGTAGTAAGGCAGGTCCTCACTACAAAAAGTGCTCTTCACTGACAAGTCGCGGTTTTGTCTCACCAGGGGTGATGGTCAGATTCGCGTTTATCGTCAAAGAAATGAGCGTTATACCAAGGCCTGTACTCTGGAGCTGGATCGTCCGTCATGATCTGGGGCGGGGTGTCACAGCATCATCGGACTGAGCTTGTTGTCATTGCATCCTGACATGACCCTCCAGCATGACAATGCCACCAGCCATACTGCTCGTTCTGTGCGTGATTTCCTGCAAGACAGGAATGTCAGTGTTCTGCCATGGCCAGCGGAGAGCCCGGATCGCAATCCCATTGAGCATGTATGGGACCTGTTGGATCGGAGGGTGAGGGCTAGAAATGACCAAACTTGCAGGTGCCTTGGTGGAAGAGTGGGGTAACATCTCACAGCAAGAACTGGCAAATCTGGTGCAATCCATGAGATGCACTGCAGTACTTAATGCAGCTGGTGGCCAAACCAGATACTGTTACTTTTGCCCACCCCCTTTGTTCAGGGACACATTATTCAATTTCTGTTAGTCACATGTCTGTGGCACTTGTTCAGTTTATGTCTCAGTGGTTGAATCTTATGTTCATACAAATATTTACACATGTTAAGTTTGCCGAAATTAAACACAGTTGACAGTGAGCGGACATCTCTTTTTTTTTTTTTGCCGATTTTAGTATATCAATTTTTACATCTTTCTAAATTAAGATACAATAAGTATTCTTTATTGTGAGCTATGAGATTTGTTTATGTTCAAAACAGTACTGATTAGGTCCATATCTGGTTTCAATCTTTCTGACACAGACATAGTGTGTCAGGAGGCTCCAGCTGCTGGTATAATATGACTAGTGCACAGTTACTCTGCTAGTAGAAACATCACCAGGCCTTTAGAAATGTTGAAAACAGTTTACTACAAGACAAAACAAATTTGCAGAACATTAAAAATGGTAAAATACATCAAATGCTGCACATTTAAAAACATGATTTAAAAAATAAAATGAATGACTTCAAATGAAATCTCTGAAAGTAAATGAGTGGTGTCACAGAACAAAATAAAAGTGAAAGGGTTTTTATTCAGGACATAAAAAAATAAAAACATGAAAAATGTACAACCCTGTTACATGTGTCCAGACGAGGGATGTTTCTCAAGGGAAGGATGTCTAAGTTTGTCATTTACAAAACGGTTGTTTCTATGACTACAGTGGCTAGACAACTAAGAATGCACAACAACAACAAAAAAACACAAGAGGGGGAAACTATTTGAAGAGTAAATTTGTGCATAAGACAAATGTAGAGAACAGCCGATGACAACACACAGCACTCTTTCCATCAACTCAACATCAAATGCACTGGAATCCTTAGCCTCTTATGGGACTACACGACCTTGCGCTTTGTCACCACATATGTGGATGTGATATGGGTAACAAGGTCTAAGAAGAAACTAAATTCAGGTCAAATCTTTCTACAACTGATAGCAAGTGGAACAAATACTCTTTAGGATGTGTTGAATTCACCACTTAATACATAATCAAAAGTACGGACATGATCGTAATTTTTTTAATAGAATAAAGCAATAAGCCTCCCATGAAAGAACACTGTCTGCCTTGTTCCATTCTCCCACACAGCGCACTGAGAACTGAGCAAAGCACTTTGGCTGAGCCATTTAGCCATAGGGTGGCGTACCTTGATCGAAGCAATGCTGGTTTAGTTTCACATTACTGCAGAGCATGTGGCATGCTGATTGTCTAACCTCATCATAAGAATGGTTACAGTTCAGCATTACTGTGATAATGTTGTATATACTCAACAATCAAAATGGTCATTCACATTTGCAAATAAAGATTGCTTGAAACACTAGGCACAACTTTTGAAGTGGCCCTTCTGTGCCTCTAACCTACCGTAGCAGGCATAAAATAATGGCCCCAAACTAGAGCACCTACATACTGGTCTTGACCAGAAGAACAAACTGTCAGGGGGATGTTCTCTTCTGCACTGTTCAACCAATCCAATAAATGTGGAGGAGTTAAGATGGAGTGGCACCTTTGTTAACATTCAAAAGTGGAAGTCAGGTCACAGGCCCTTTCCATTTTCCCTGAAAACCGGTACATCTGATTGTTAGGGACTCGGCAGAGGCTAGTGCATCTGTAATATTGTCTTACTTGTGCTTGATGTGACGACACTGTCTGATTAACAGGTAATCTGAAGAATCCAATTCCAAGTTAAGAATAAGCAGCTACTCTAAAATATATTCATGATCTTAGCAATGGAATCGCAGCTACATGATGGTTAGTTGACAGGGTAAAGTTACAGAACAGGAAAAAATGTATGGCATAAAAAGGAGCTAAAATATTAAAATGTGGATGATTAAAACAAAACGTACAATCCAGCCACACTACTAGCGATGTGAAGAGACAAAAACCATGGAGGGAGTCTTTACATAGAGGAAGGGACCATATTTACCTTAGAACATCAAAGTTTGACTAAAACTACTGAACAAAAACCGTAGAAGAAATAGGAGCCGTTTTTCTACCAAGGTGGCCTAGTAGGGGATCAGATGATAAAATCGTATTGTTTCTACCGCATAACTAACTATGCTTAAGGTTTGTTAAGACTTGCAAGGCTGTCAGCTTCCCAGTGGCAAACATGTCGGTTGCCCATATTCAACGTTTCCGCAGATTGTCTGATCTAGGATCAGTTGCCCTGTTAGATCACAATGACTATATGGACCGGTGGGACCAGATACTGGATCAACACTGAGTACAGGGCCCTGGACCATGCTTTGATAGACGTGGCCATTTTAACTTCTCTCTCAGTGAAGACGACTACCTTCAAGTCACCTTAAGATGGATGCCTGTACCTAGACAGGGTACCACAGAATCTACAATTTTCCTTACACAATCATATCCCGAAAAAAAAGTGAAAGAGAATAAAGCATGAGGTTACAGAAAACCCACAAGCCCTCCCCAGTAGGGAGCGCACGCCTGTTTTGCCACATCCAAAATCCCAGTCTTCCTGCATCCTTCTCAGTTTCTATGTAAAATGGCTAAGTTGGACTGTTGGTTATTCAGGGATATTAGCCTGTACATTGGGGCATTGAGGGAGGTATCATGAAAAAGTGGGCAGTGTTCTCCATCGTCAGTTTGTGTGGTTTTTGTTATGGTCATTACCAATGGGGTAGGGGGGTGAGTGTCAGTCGGTACCAAATCCCTTCCCAACCCTCTATTTGGCCCTAACCCTTCAATGTTTGCAGATCTTTAAGGTAAAAGCAATATGGTGGAAGATTTACCACTATACTGCTTATACCTATGCAGACCATTCAAACAAGTTAACGTAAAAAGGGTTAAGGCCAAGGGGGAGGAATAGGGTGCGATTTGGTGCTGGCTATACGAGTCTCCAGGTTGTCCCTGCAGTCGGTGGTCAGAGACCGTTCCCGTGGCGAGACATCCCGCTCACATGCTTACAGTGCCCTTCTCTTTCTTGTCCCCATCTTCGTGCCAGGTGAGGCGCTCCTCATAGAAGGCTATGACGATCTGCGGGCACTTGTGATTGGCCTCCTTGGCTAGCACCAGATCTGCCTCGTCAGAGTCCTTCCTGTAGAGTAAGGAAATAAATAGTAAATAAACATGCTTATTTACAGGCCTGTTGCCATGGTGATTTAAAGCCAAGATTCGGTAGTATACTGCTTAGTCGACAACTTAAATTTGTCACAAGACCCAATCAGGACAACCAGAAAGTTCTTAGACCTACTGTCTTGAAGATAAGACTAGTTTACAAAATCAACTTTTTCTTCTTTTGTTGTGAGCAACCACTACAGTTAAGTGGTTTCCTGTCACCAGCTTGAAAACAAATTCTGATGTCATAATCTAACAGAGAACATAAGGTCAACACTGTCTAAGCACTCAACACTCACCACTTCATGAGGAACATGAGGTCTCCACAGGAGTCTGTGGCTCCTATAATCTTCTCTGGTACCAGACCCCTCTCAAAGCCTCTCGCAATCAGGACGTCATCCTGGAAGACAGGAGAAAACACTAATTATACCTCTGTGTTGTACGTTACATGTGAAACCTTGGCACCGCTACCGGGGGCGGGGCAGAAGCACAGAAACTGAGAGAACAGTTTTATTTCACAACGCCTTTATCATTCTAGTGAAAGTTGATCAAGAGGGCGTTGCTTACCATTTCACTTTAAAATTAGCCCTCTTCAGTTGGTTAGAAATATGCAAATGAAAGGCTTTAACTACACCAATTAACGAGGTAGGGTACGCACCTCTTTTTTCCGTTTGGGCTTGTTGCTGCTCCCCTCCTCCTCATCATCAGAGTTCCTCCTCTTGCTGCTGCCTTCCTTGCTGCGGCCTGATGATCCCGCGCTGGACTTGGATCCTCCACTGCTGGGGGTTGCACCACTACTACTGCTAGGCTTCTTGTAGGTCTTCATGAACCCAGCGATGAGCTCGGGGCAGCCAAGATTCTTCTCTGGCTCCCATGTGTTGTGCTTTCTGCAAAGAACCGTGCATTGTAAAAGCAAGCATAACATTTGACAGGAGGTATACATACTAGTGTCCAAACAGTAAAACATTTCAGTGTAAACTTAAACGACTAAAACCAGATAAAGTATGTTGAAAATTCACCTATTTATTTTTAAACAAGATCGTCTGAGAACTAACAATCAGGGAGAATCCAAAAGGATGCATTCAGCAGTATTGATTTTGTCATATTGTCGTCACTCAGCGTAAGAGCACTGCATAAGCCATGGCAAAATGTGTAGAATTGCAGTAAACTAAAACAGATACATTGTCTCTGCAGCCATGAAGAGGGCCTCAAATATTTGGTCGGCAGCTACGCTATTGGCTATGAAGCCCACTACATAAGCCCCATTATGGAAGGGAAAAAAAACCCTGCAACGAGTTTCCGAAGAATGTTTACCCTCCATGTGTAGGAGTCAGAGAACACACAGTAGCTGACTAAACTCAACTGTGAAGGAAGTTTCTGATGAACTCCACCAGCAAGTTGAGCAGAGACCAGGCTGTGTAATTCAGCTCAGAATACATTGATTCGCCCAAGGTCAATACTTCAAAAAATATACATTATGAAGGGCTTTAAATTGTACCGATGTTAGTCTTCTGTAGTTGCGTGCCTTTGTTTGCTGAAATCCACACTTTTTCAATGAACGTTCCTCAAATACAAGCACCGACTGTTTTCTCATTGCTGTTGCTCTAAGATGGCAACTCTGCGAAAATGTTCATGTGCCCATTGAATCTCAAGGAAACAGTCAGTGGTTGTATTTGATTACCATTTTATTAAAAAGTATGGATTTCAGCAACCAAAAGAAAGACACACAACTACAGAGGACAAACATAGGTAAAAGGTAAGCATTTCATAATTTTAATTTGTTTAAGTATTGACCTTGGGCGAATCGATGTAGTCTGGCCTGAATTCCACAAAGCCTGGTCTCTGCTCAATTCTGTTGGTGGAGTTAATCAGAATTTTCCTTCACCATGGAGTTTAGTCAACAAAACACGCAGGTAACAACATTTTAAACACTGGTTTTGAAACATACTGGAAGGCATGAAAAATACAATAAAAATATGGATGTTACAGGTAGAAATTAGATACCTGCTACTACAGGATGCATATTCATACTGTAAACATATCAAAGTAAGATTGCATCACAATCACATGAGGAAGATACTTACTCTGAATAGCCTTTCCACTTCAGGAAGAATTCAACTCGGCCCTTCACCGTTCTTCTATCCAGCACCTTCTCCACAATAAATTCTTCCTCTTCTGAAGATGAGCCTGAGGCACCATCATCATTTTCACGAGTCTTCTTTCCCATGGCTAGTTAGGTTACAGTACCTCGAGTTAAGGGGCACGTCCCAACTTCGAAATGGAAAGTTTGAGAAAACCTAGCAAACGTCGAAAGAAAGTTTAGAAATGCGTGCAATAAAGTTATACATTGGTCAACTGTTCATAGATAGCTAACTACGCATACTCTTTAGCACGTTATCAAAAGCCGATAAACTAGTTAACGTGTCGAGGGTCATCCAGGTTACGTTAAATACCGGGGTTGAATAAATTTTTTCTCAACCATGTCCCGACAGTTGATTGTCCGTTTAAAAGGAATCACACGAATTAAGAAGCACGCTAGGCTAACGTTTGCTAAGTTAGCCAATACGGCTAACTTAGCCGGCAAGCGCAGATTTGACTTATTTGATACAACACATAGCAATTTCCTATAAACAGGGGTAAAATAGTTCGTTAGGAAACGATGTCAAGGGGCATTCAAATCTAAATAGTCAGCGTGTAGTTACACGAACGTTAGCTAACATGTTTGTCCCAACCGGCTCGCATGAGCTAGCTAACTCTTCACTACCAACGTAGGTCGCTAAGCAAATTAGCAAATGTTATCCTCAATGCTTACCTATTTTTTAAACTAGTTAATAAATCACTTTATTTATTTACTCACCCTTTGTAATTCGGATGAATTGATTAGAAACTCAATTTTTTCTTCCACCACACAACGGCTAGCTTCAGCAGTTTGCTGTACGCTGTTTCTGGGCTTTTTGTTCCCCCTCCCCACACGACTTGCTTGCGCGCCAAAAGCACAATGGCAGACCGTGCACGCCCACGAAACCGTCGGCGTCAAACCAAATAACTGTGAGTTAATCAGTAAATGTTGTCGCTAGCGATGTCCACTTAACAAATATGCAACGATATTTCGGTATCACTTGGCTAGCTTTATCAAATACTATAATATGTTTATTTATACAGACTTGCCAGAACAATAAATTCAATGTAATTGAAGTGACGTAATTTTAACGTAAGCATTAGAAAATATGAAAGTAAACTCACGCCCACCACCGGCTGGTGTCGTTTTGTTATTGGATATTGCTGATAACTGACTGTGAAGTATCCAATCGGAGTAGCAGCAGAAGAGAAAAATAGAATGCAGCGGGAACAGCTAACCAATTGCTGAATCCAAGAGCTGTATCCGTCCCTATTTATTCTACTCTTTTCTATCCAGGCACGGTCGTCTCTCTGTCGCAGATTTTCTCTCCTCGATTAAGGAACAAGGGATTGGAAATTACCAGCCAAAATGTCGAAGGAGGTAAGGTTTTCTAATAAATATCTACCTGCAATTTTGTGATATGTACGTTTAGTGTTTAATTTAACGTGCACGTTGACCAATCTAGTCAAAATGGCTTTCCACTCGCGAGTGTCTATTGCAGCCATAACTAATGTGGGGATGCCGCCATCTTAGCTACAGGCCTCATGGCGTTTTGTTGTTCGTGCGTTTTGCTTAGCCAAATTGCAACAGACGTTATGTCTCCTTTTGTAGTTAATATTATAGTAAAATTGTAATGTAATCGGTAGTTTAGTAATCACACATACCGGTAAAAAAAAAAATCTGTTTGGTTCACATTTTGCCGAATATATAACATGGAGGCGCTGTCGACCCCCCCCACCCCCCGTGGAGAAGGCCGCTTTTTTCGCCACACCGTGCAAACAATATAATATCTGATGCCATTGACTCTCAAACTTCGTTGTTGCGTAACTGCAGCAATATGGATAAATGGTTGGGGTTATTTGGTACAATGTAGCGTTCGCTCTCATTTGCGTCTTTCGTTGAAAATGCATTGTCCCTTTTTGTCCAGGCCCCACGTGAACCCGAGCAGCTCCGCAAGCTGTTCATCGGAGGTCTGAGCTTCGAAACCACGGACGAGAGTTTGCGAGCACACTTCGAACAATGGGGATCTCTTACAGATTGTGTGGTGAGTACACATTTAAAAAGTTCATACCTAGTTGGCTATAGTATTACTAGATGAATGGATAACTTTACCGGAAAAGGTTTCCATTGCCTGTGAATGTTTGATTGGTTAACCTAAATCGAACGACAGTGTAGATGTTTTTGCATTAAACTCAATATTGCCAACAGGTAATGAGAGATCCTGCGAACAAGCGCTCCAGGGGTTTTGGGTTTGTCACTTATGCTGGTGTGAACGAGGTAGATGCTGCCATGGAAGCACGACCCCACAAGGTTGATGGTAGGCTCGTAGAGCCGAAGAGGGCAGTGTCCAGAGAGGACTCCAGCCGTCCAGGTGCTCACGTCACAGTGAAAAAAATATTTGTTGGCGGTATCAAGGAAGACACAGAAGACTCCCACCTGCGAGACTACTTTGAGCAGTTTGGCAAGATTGAAGTAATCGACATTATGACCGACCGCAACAGTGGCAAGAAGAGGGGCTTCGCCTTTGTCACGTTTGATGACCACGATGCAGTGGACAGGATTGTTAGTAAGTAGTGGTGTGAATGTCTTTGTATTGGAATGAAAATTGCTGCCTTTAATGTGTGTTTTGCTGTAATTTAATACCGTTTTCTATCCCAGTCCAGAAGTACCACACACTGAATGGTCACAATTGCGAAGTGAGGAAAGCGTTGTCCAGACAGGAGATGCAGACTACAGGAATGGGTATGAGGGGTGGTAAGTCCATGACTCCTTCATGGCAAGTGGCTCAATCATTAATTAATTGTTTCTATTAGGTTGGTCTGGTACTAATTGTTTATTTTCCTTTCCAGGCCGTGGTGGTGGCGGTGGCAACTATGGCAGAGGTGGGGGATACGGAGGTAATGATTTTGGCCGTGATGATGGATACTTCGGTGGCCGTGGTATGTGGTGGTCCTGAACCACTCAATATCTCTCTGATTGAACCTGTGTACTTAACCCCTTGTGATTGTTTCAATATACTTTAGGTGACGCTGACTCGTCTGTTTCAGGAGGCAGAGGGGGTGGATATGGCGGTGGAGATGGTGGTTACAACAATGGTTATGGAGGAGGAGATGGTAAGAGTTTTCTAGATTGGACTAATATAATTATTGCTGGGTATGCATGTAAACTACGATTCGTGACAGCATGAAGATCTACAACATAACTTAGTCATACCATAGTAATTTAGCAGACGCTCTTATGCAGAGCTACTTACAGTAGAGTGCATACATTTTCTCGTACTGGTCCCCTGTGGGAATTACCATAAATATACAGTGGGGGGGGGGGGGGGGGGGGGGGGGGGGAGTATTTAGTCAGCCACCAATTGTGCAAGTTCTCCCACTTAAAAAGTAATTAAAAATGTAATTTTCATCATAGGTACACGTCAACTATGACAGACAAATTGAGAAGAAAAAAATCCAGAAAATCACATTATAGGATTTTTAATGATTTTATTTGCAAATTATGGTGGAAAATAAGTATTTGGTCACCTACAAACAAGCAAGATTTCTGGCTCTCACAGGCCTGTAACTTCTTTAAGAGGCTCCTCTGTCCTCCACTCGTTACCTGTATTAATGGCACCTGTTTGAACTTGTTATCAGTATAAACCTGGACACCTGTCCACAACCTCAAACAGTCACACTCCAAACTCCACTATGGCCAAGACCAAAGAGCTGTCAAAGGACACCAGAAACAAAATTGAAGACTGAATCTGCAATAGGTAAGCAGCTTGGTTTGAAGAAATCAACTGTGGGAGCAATTATTAGGAAATGGAAGACATACAAGACCACTGATAATCTCCCTCGATCTGGGGCTCCACGCAAGATCTCGCCCCGTGGGGTCAAAATGATCACAGGAACGGTGAGCAAAAATCCCAGAACCACACGGGGGGGGACCTAGTGAATGACCTGCAGAGAGCTGAGACCAAAGTAACAAAGCCTACCATCAGTAACACACTACGCCGCCAGGGACTCAAATCCTGCAGTGCCAGACGTGTCCCCCTGCTTAAGCCAGTACATGTCCAGGCCCGTCTGAAGTTTGCTAGAGTGCATTTGGGAGAATGTCAGATGAAACCAAAATATAACTCGTTGTGTTTGGAGGACAAAGAAAGCAGAGTTGCATCCAAAGAACACCATACCTACTGTGAAGCATGGGGGTGGAAACATCATGCTTTGGGGCTGTTTTTCTGCAAAGGGACCAGGACGACTGATACGTGTAAAGGAAAGAATGAATGGGGCCATGTATCGTGAGATTTTGAGTGAAAACCTCCTTCCATCAGCAAGGGCATTGAAGATGAAACGTGGCTGGGTCTTTCAGCATGACAATGATCCCAAACACACCGCCCGGGCAACGGAGTGGCTTCGTAAGAAGCATTTCAAGGTCCTGGAGTGGCCTAGCCAGTCTCCAGATCTCAACCCCATAAATCTTTGGAGGGAGTTGAAAGTCTGTGTTGCCCAGCAACAGCCCCAAAACATAACTGCTCTAGAGGAGATCTGCATGGAGGAATGGGCCAAAATACCAGCAACAGTGTGTGAAAACCTTGTGAAGACTTACAGAAAACGTTTGACCTGTGTCATTGCCAACAAAGGGTATATAACAAAGTATTGAGAAACTTTTGTTATTGACCAAATACTTATTTGCCACCATAATTTGCAAATAAATTCATTAAATCCTACAATGTGATTTTTCTGGAAAAAATTTTCTCATTTTGTCAGTCATAGTTGACGTGTACCTATGATGAAAATTACAGGCCTCTCTCATCTTTTTAAGTGGGAGAACTTGCACAATTGGTGGCTGACTAAATAATTTTTTCCCCCACTGTATCTATATTGTGTATTGTTGCTGGCAGTGGATTTAGACTAGAACCTTCCTTTCTATAGGTGGCTATGGTGGAGGGCCTGGTGGGTATGGTGGCGGTAACCGTGGCTACGGCGGAGGACAAGGAGGTTATGGCGGAGGACAGGGTGGCGGCTATGGTGGCGGAAACGGTTATAACGACTACAACAATGGCAATGGCAACAGCGGGAACTTTGGCGGCGGTAAGTCCATGGCTTCACCACAAGAAGCAGCACCAGTTGCTGGTAAGTGGATGGCTTCATAGGCTGTGATCAAATTCTCACACTACATTCTGTTTGGTTAAAATATTGATCTACTACCTATAATTTCCTTCTAAATGGTAAGCATAAAATGTTACCATATTAAACCTGAGATTTCACATACAAAACCTTAAAGGCAAGTAGCCTAGCGGTTAAGAGCGTTGGGCCAGTAACCGAAAGGTTGCTGGTTTGAAACCCTGAGCTGACTAGGTGATTAATATTGGTGTCCTTGAAGGCACTTGACCCTAAATGTTCCTGTAAATTGCTCTGGATGAATCTGCTAAATAACTGGAATGTAATAATTGCATACTCAAATGGCCTACTAAATAAGAAGTAGTATGAGAACTCGGTCATAGCTGACTTCATGAAAGTGATGCATGAAATACTCTGATATCCAAGCTGTACACAAATTATTGGGAATATCATTGAGCCTGTGTAATGTCCAGACAACCAATTCTCAGTATGAGTAATGTGGCTGTTTTAAAATGTGTTGCAGGAAACTTTGGAGGCGGTGGCGGCAACGGTGGCGGCAACGGCTACAATGACTTTGGCAGCTACAACAACCAGGCTTCCAACTATGGCCCCATGAAGGGTAACAACTTCGGTGGCAGCGGCGGTGGCGGCAGTGGTGGAAGTGGCGGTAGCGGCGGTGGCAGGAACAGCGGCCCATATGGTGGTAGGTGGCACATGGCAATGTCTATCAACTGGTTGCTTAGCGTTGGCTGAGCTGTTAACACGTGTTGGTTTGGCACTGAGTCTGAGAATCTAGATTAGTATGTGATTGTAATGCTTAGTATGTCAAGAATGATTTAACTGTATATTAACGCCTCCATTTGTACTTTTTACGAGTTGACTGGGAGGATCTTTCTGGTTGATCATTCAACCTTTGACGGTTCATGTTTTTCGCTGTTCCGTTCAGGTGGTTATGGAGGTAGCTCAGGTGGGGGTGGCGGCGGTGGATATGGCGGGGGCTCCGGTGGACGACGATTCTAAATGTTCAGAAGGTGCGTATTTAAATGTGACTGTTTGAAACCATAACAATGTGTGTAGATGAGACTTACGCATAATCTAGGATTTGTTCAAATGTAGCGTTCAGAAACTAGGGGATCCATTCTTTTACACTTTCATACATACAATCCTTGTAGTTGTGTTTTTAGATCTTGATCCAAGTGTTAAGAATGCTGGCTCTGGATCTCATGTAGGTTCTGGTCATTCCAACAGTCAGTGCACAGTTTAACTTAATGTTGTTCCATATTGTTCAACAGGACTCAGTACTTAGGAGAGGAGAGCGAGACAAGTGACAGGGCAGCTGCAGGTTTACAACCTAGATCTGCTCAGCCAAACAGATGTGGCAGGTTACAGCTGCTACAAGAAGAGATGTGTACAATAGAGAAATCATGGCGGGGCTTCATACGTTTTTCTGTATTGTCAAACGGGATTATTTTATGTTTCTGGAAAGCGAGCATTCCAATGAGGTTTTATGTAGATTTTCTTTTTTGAGTCTGGTTTTTATTTTTGTGTAACTGCAACCAATCAAGTTGAAATAAACCACCTTTCAGTTTTTTTAAAACTGTCGTTCAGTCTTGTTAGCATCTTTAAGGGGATTGAGGGGGAGGATGTTTTCTGGTTTGGGTGTTGAATGCATTAGAACGTGTACAGATCCACACTTGACTGATAGATTAGGTCAATGACTGAAGAAGATAAGTACCACTTGTCAATGGAGACTTGCCTAGCCCAATATGCTTTATTCCTTCTTGCATGGGACATTCTTAGTCTCTTCCAATGCACATACTACATAATGTAGACAATAACATGTATCCCGGCACATCAATCAAAGGAAGGTTTGTGACAAAGTAGTGGTACCCTAGCATTGAAGTCCTTGATAAACGCTGATGTTATGGTAGTATAATACTCAGTCAACACAGAGCTCAAGATCTCTTTGAGAACTGCACCAGAGATGTGAGTTGGCTGGCTAGATCGCTCGCCTGTCATACAGCACACCCTCCAGCAGAAGGCTAGCTTACATGATGCAGTCTTGAGGCTAGCCAGCCATGGAAGCCAGCTGAGCTGAGGGCGAGTCGTAGTAAACAGCCCGTCGCCTGGCAGGAGCAGTGTGAAGCAGGGGGAGTGAGTAGCAAGAAGGCATGAGACTAGCAGGCAGCCGCTACCAAAGGGCTTAAATGCTGTCTGTAGGTAAGGAGACTTTTCCAACTACTGTTAGTTTAAATAACATGTTCTGTAGTTAGTACGCGCAAACTCTTGTAGTCATAGTATAGCATTCATGACCATGTACAGCTTATTTGGATGTGCAGAGATGTTTTATTACAAATCACTGCCCCCTGTTCATCTGGTAATACAATGGGCGTTGACCTTTGTAACATGGTCTTTATGATTGTGCAAATCTCATAATGCATGCTTTTTTTGGCAGTCAAAATATGAAATGTTATCAGACTAATGCCTTTCAATGTTATATCTCATAGTCTCCTTCTTCTGATACTTCCTAGGAAACTGACTCTGATCTGAAGGACTGCTACTGAAAGCATAATGGTGTTGAACAAGGTTACATTGCATAAGGTAAGCGACAGTAACCTTTTGATAACTGTTTCTCGTATTGTGGGAGATTTTTCTCAAGTCTCGTCTAAGGCTGTCCTGAATAATTTTTTTGTGTTCTGTTCTCTTCTAGGGTGCCTGGGGAGATGCAATGGGCAAATTAATTTTTAACTGGAAAGACTGCTGTGCAGGATTTTTAACTTTTAAAAAATGTATCTTTACCCACATTGGTTTATATAAAAAATACTTTTACATCAACATCTCAATTTTTGTCCTTTCATTTGATAAATACTGTGATTAAACAGCCACATGAATGTTGAACTTTCATTCTCTGGAATATACAATTCACGCAAGGACGTTATAATAGAATTCATTTACATTTACATTTACGTCATTTAGCTGACGCTCTTATCCAGAGCGACTTACAGTTAGTGAGTGCATACATTATTATTTTCATACTGGCCCCCCGTGGGAAACGAACCCACAACCCTGGCGTTGCAAACGCCATGCTCTATCAACTGAGCTACCTCCCTGCCTGCCATTCCCTCCCCTACCCTGGACGACGCTGGGCCAATTGTGCGCCGCCCCATTGGTCTCCCGGTTGCGGCCGGCTACAGCAGAGCCTGAATGTACGTCTTGATTAAATGAAAAGGTACTTTAGTTAGTGCCTCCTAAGTATTCACACACTTTTCCGCCTTCTGTAAGAGCCTGAATTTTCATGGATTAAATTGAGTTTGTCACTGGCCTGCGCACAATACCCAATTTCAATGGAATTATGTTTTTGGAAATGTATACCAATTAAATGAAAAGCTGACGTCAACCACTTATGGCAAGCATAAATAAGTTCAGCGTAAATTTGCTTAAGTAGCTGCATGGACTCTATGCAATGAGTGTTTAACGTTTTTTTTTTATTGCATACAGTTATCTAAGGTTGAGCAGTGAATTTCAAACCGCTTCAACCACCAAGAACAGGGAGTCATTGAATATCCTGTTGAGCACGGTGAAGTTATTCATTACCGATACAGGTGTCCTTCCAAACGCAGTGGCCGGAGAGGAAGGAAACCGCTCAGGGATTTCACCGTGAGGCCAATGGTGACATTAAAACAGTTTAATGGCTGTGATAGGAGAACACTGAGGCTGGATCAACATTGTTACTCAACAATACTAACCTAAATGACAGAGTGAAAAGGAAGTCCGTACAGAATTCAACATATTCTAAAACCTGCATCCTGTTTGCAATGAGACGCTAAAGTAAAACTGCAAGAAATGTGGCAAAGAAATTAACTATGCCCTGACTAGTTTTATGCTTGGGCTGAATTAACACATCATTAAATACCACTTCAAATGTTCAAGCATGGTCATGGCTGCATCATGTTATGGGTATGCTTGTCATTGGCAAGGACTAGGGTTTTTTGTTAAAGAAATGGAATTGAGCTAAGCACAGGCAAAATCCTAGAGGAACACCTGGTTGTCTGCTTTCCAACAGACCCTGGGAGACACATTCACCTTTCAGCAGGACTATAACTTAAAACACAAGTCCAAATACACAAGTTGCTTACCAATACATTAAATGTTCCTGAGTGGCCTGGTTACAGTTTTGACTTAAATAGGCTTGAATCTATGGCGAGACTTGAAAATGGCTGTCTAGCAATGATCAACAACCATTTTGACAAGAGCTTGAAGATTTTTGTGCAATCCAGGTGTGCAAAGCTCTTAGAGACGTACCCAGAAAGACTCATTGCTGCAAAAGGTGATGCTAACATGTATTGACTCGGGTGTGAATACTTATGTAAGCTAGATTTCATTTTCCAATAAATATGCACATTTCTAAAAACATGTTTTCACTTTGTCATTATGGGGTATTGTGTGTAGATGGGTGAGAAATACAAATATTTAATCCATTTTGAATTCAGGCTAACACAAAATGTGGAATACTTTCTGAAGGCACTGTAGTCTTTCAACATCGTTGAATAAAATGTATCTAAAATAAGCATAGCCATATGACTTGTTCACTTGTAACTAAGTATTGATTTGATTGTACAACGTCGTATAATGAGCACAGTATCTTAAAAAAAAAACTGCCATACACTATTCCGTGGTTTTGTATATGAATATACACTGAACAAAAATATAAACGCAACGTGAAGTGTTGGTCCCGTGTTTCATGAGCTGAAAACCAAGATACCAGAAATGTTCCATACGCACAAAAAGCTGATCTCTCTCAAATTTTGTGCACAAATTTGTTTACATCTGTTAGTAAGCATTTCTTCTTTGCCAAGATAATCTGTCCACCTCAGGTGTGGCATATCAAGAAACTGATTAAACAGCATGTGACAATGTGCAGTATTGTCACAAAACACAATGTCTCAGGTTTCGAGGGAGAGTGCAATTGGCATGCTGACTGCAGGAATGTCCACCAGAGCTGTTGCCAGATTATTTAATTAATTTCTCTACCACAAGCCGCCTCCAATGTCATTTTAGAGAATTTGGCAGTACGCCCAACCTGCCTCACAACCGCAGACCACATGTATGGCCTAATGAATTTATTTCAATTGACTGACTTCCTTATATGAACTGTAACTCAGTAAAATATTAGAAATTGTTGCCTTTATATTTTTGTTCAGTATACTTAATGGCACTTACTGTACTGTAGATGTATAAAAATGTCACAATGGTATATAAACAGCGAGGCAGTGTCCAATAGATTTAATCTTTACATTATTCTCCATCCAACACGTCACTACGTGGCACCAAGTATACGTTCCCATCAGGGGTCTGCTGTAGAGAGTAGTCATCTATGGAGTAGGGATGTCCATCCTCATCCCGGAGCTGAGAGAACACTTCAGCATACAAGTCTGTGAGGCGGTTTTTAACAATAGCCAAGTTGTGTTGGAACTCCATCCTCTCTCTGGCCAGGTGATCCCTCTGGGCCTGCAGCTGACCCAGCTCTCCCTCCAGGTAAACTATATTCTCCAGCTTCCTCTTCCTGCAGTTCTGAGCCGCCACCTTGTTCTTCCCCCGCCGGCGGATGTCCCTGACGAGGGCGAGCTGGGCGTCCGTGAGTGTGTACTTGGTCAGGAGCTCATTGAAGTCATCCACGGGTAGGTTGATGATCTTCTCCATAGGGAAAGGGATCTTGAGGGCGTGAGCTTTGCGTTCATCCCGGCTCAGAGGAACAGGAGGAGGGTTGCCTCTGGGTTTTACATAGAACGCCTGAGAAGAGCTCCCTCTGCTGGCAGAGCTGTTAAGGTTCAAGTCATTCAATGCACTCGGTAAACCCTGTTGATGTTTAATTGACATGGGAAGCAGGAAGTGAGGCTGTGGTTGCATTTGGGATGGTTGTGTTACAGGGAAGTAAGAGGGGTGCGGCCCCGAGTAGGGCTGGGTAGGATGCTGCTGATAGTCCATGGAGTAAAGGAGGCTAGCTCTCCTACCTTGCTCACCCATACTCTCCGTCCCCCTGTGATTATAGTTCAGACCAACCTCTGTGCTTGAACAAGCAGGTACGCCGGTCATGACATCATCTGGTGAGGCCAGCGATGGGCTAGATCCCAGAGATAGGCCAGAGTCCGACTCCAGATCGTCTACAGTGCGTGGTGGATGTTTGCTCTGCCCATGATCAGTCCCTAGCATGTGCCGACTCGGACCCTGAGAGAGGCCAGCATTGTCTTTTCCAACAGGCCCCTCACCAGCGACACTTGTCAGACTCATATGTTCTAGAAAACTCATCAGCGGTGGCAGCAGAGGGTTCAGAACTCTGGGATTCAGCTGGGTTCCAGAATGAGTTCCAGGATGTCTGTACAGTGTCTCAGTTAATTCACTGGTGGCCTGATGTTGGCAGGCTGGCATTACTTCAGAGTAGGTTCCCTCATAAGCAATATCAGGGTTTGTCTCACCACCACAGGGGAGAGGCTCTGTATGAGAGTGAGACTGAGCCATGCTATAACCTCCCAGAGAGAGAGGCGGCTCTGTGGGATGGTACAGAATAGTTTCATATGGGCCTTCATGGGGGACCTCAAACTCCTAAAACAAAGTAAGATTCATGAGTTGATGCTTTGTCTAATCATTACAGTTTATCATTACAATATGTTACTTTAAAACAAAACAATTCTACATGTTTATCATTGACTTTTAAACTGCTATGTGTATTTGTGAACATGCAAAATACCATTTCATAGGATAATTAATAACTCATCTATGGGGAATGAGCAGTGGTGTAAAGTATTTAAGTAAAAATACTTTAAAGTACTACTTAAGTCATTTTTTGGAGTATCTTTACTATTTATATTTTTGACAATCTTTACTTTTACTTCACTACATTCCTAAAGATAATAATGTACTTTTTACTCCATACATTTTCAATGACACCCAAAAGTACTCATTACATTTTGAATGGCTAGCAGGACAGGAAAATGGTTAAATTCACACACTTATCAAGAGAACATCCCTGTCATCCCTACTGCCTCTGATCTGGCAGACTCACTAAACACAAATGCTTCGTTTGGAAATTATGTATGAGTGTTGGAGTGTGCCCCTGGCTATCCGTAAATAAAAAAACAAGAAAATTGTGCCGTCTGGTTTGCTTAATATAGGGAATTAGAAATTATTTATACTTTTACTTTTAATACTTAAGTATATTTTTAGCAATTATATTTACTTTTCATACTTAAGTATATTTAAACCCAAATACTTTTAGACTTTTACTCAAGTAGTATTTTACTGCGTGACTTTCAATTTTACTTGAGTAATTTTCTATTAAGGTATCTTTACTTTTACTCAAGTATGACAATTGGGTACTTTGTCCACCACTGGGAATGAGTGTGAGAAATGAAACTGATAGGTAGTGTGGTGTGGGGGGCCAGGCTTTAAAAGAAAAGTGAGGGGCCAGGCTATCGTATCCATAAGTCACCTGCTGGCCATAGCACACAGTTCACCCCCACCTTGGTATACATCCATAGCTCATGCCGCCCATGCAGGTCTCTCTTACGTGTGTTATCAAGTTTCATGTGGAAACAGGTGGTCATTGTGCTGTGCAGGGGGCTGCTTGCAATGTACAGTGCTGTGCTTTCCTCCCTATCTCTTTATCCTGCCATCACTCAATTGGCCCATTGTCGAGTGTGTGTTACTTGAGTGTGTGTTACTTTTTAGGTGGGAATACTCAGCATTTCCTTAGATTAAATGTATATACACTACCGGTCAAAAGTTTTAGAACACCTACTCATTCAAGGGTTTTTCTTAATTTTTTCAAACTATTTTCTACATTGTAGAATAATGGTGAAGATATCAAAACTATGAAATAACGCATATGGAATCATGTAGTAACCAAAAAAGTGTTAAACAAATCAAAATATATGTTATATTTGACACAGTCTCCTCTGAACAGTTGATGTTGAGATGTGTCTGTTACTTGAACTCTGGGAAGCATATATTTGGGCTGCAAATTCTGAGGCTGGTAACTCTAATGAACTTATCCTCTGCAGCAGAGGTAACTCTGGGTCTTCCACTCCTGTGGCGGTCCTCATGAGCCAGTTTCATCATAGCGATTTATGGTTTTTGGGACTGCACTTGAAGAAACTTTGAAAGTTCTTGACATTTTCCGTATTGACTGACCTTCATGTCTTAAAGGAATGTTTATCTTTGCTTATTTGAGCTGTTCTTGCCATAATATGGACTTGGTCTTTTACCAAATAGGGCTATCTTCTGTATACCACCCCCACCCCTATCACAACACAACTGATAGGCTCAAACGCATTAAGAAGGAAATAAATTCCACAAATTAATTTTTAAGAATGCACACCTGTTAATTGAAATGCATTCCAGGTGACTACCTCATGAAGCTTGTTGAGAGAATGCCAAGAGTGTGCAAAGCTGTCATCAAGGCAAAGGGTGGCTATTTGAAGAATTTCAAATATAAAACATATTTTGATTTGTTTAACACTTTTTTGGTTACTACATGTGTTATTTCATAGTGTTGATGTCTTCACTATTATTATACAATGTAAAAATAAAGAAAAACCCTTGAATGAGTAGGTCTTCTAGAACTTTTGACCGGTAGTGTACATAAACTTGACACTGCTGTGGTTGGTTTGCAGGATTGTGTAATTTTCTCTTTTCTGTCTGTCTGTTTGTGGTTGCCTAATTCACCGCCATGGTAGTGTTTTCCTAAGAGAGGCCAACAGTATGAAATTGCATCTCACACTGTAAGGATATCATTAAAAACAATATCTATAGTTTTTCAATATAACTATGGCTACATAGGGGACTTCTGGCCAGGTGAGAGAGGCTCTTAATCAAACTCAAATCACATTTGAGCTATATGGTTACATAATTATCAGGCTATTGAATACTCATCCTCCTACCTGAAGCTCTGTGATGGCCATCAGTTCCCGCCAGGCCAGGTCCATCTCTGGGTCGTGGGGGGCTCCACGTGACCGGGCTTCAGGGGCATGGGCGGGCATCGACACCCCCCCACACAGCCTGCCCAGATTCGCCAAGCCCTGGAGAATGAATTGATAAATGCTGGAAATCTTAGATATCTTTGACTTAAGTAAATGTTATGCTTTATTTTAAAACCCTATTTTGACAGTATTTACACTTACAACATAAGCAATGTAACGATAGATACTTTCTGGTACTTGCTTCTTCAAATAGTTGAACACAATTGGTCACCAAATCATATGTAGGTTTGTGTGTTTTAATGAATAAAACAACAATTTCTTGCCTCTGTCTTTCACAGGAAAGAGTTCAATGCCCAGCAAACACATAACCACCACACAATGTTGTCTCAATGGTCTGTTTCATGACATGATGCCACCTCAGTCACCCACCTCACTGTGTCTCCTCAGTGGGAGGACATAGTTGGCTGCTGCACACATTCAGGACTGGCTGTGGTTGCAGGGAACCCTTCTGGAACAGACAGAAAGAAACAAAGATTATTATCAGTTTTTTTCATTATTATTTAGCCATCAGAATACACTGATTACAGGCTGAACTCCTCTCTCTTTTAATTCAATACGTAGATGCCAACACACGATGGAAAAACACTCTAAGTTTCGCCTCATCTAAGAAAAACACTACATGTTACAATCCTTGAAGAGAACCTGGTGTAATCATCACCTCAGTAAACTAAACACACACCTCATTTCATACTGCAGAAAGATGCACATACCATAAAGGTAGACCCACTAGAGATGGCTACATGTACTGTTTGGGTGATGTTCTGTGTTGAACTGTTTGGGACATGCGACGGCCAGGCACACAGAGTTCCGTTGGGCTGGATCCCTCCTATCAGCTGAGCTGTGGTGCTGCTATGCCAGTCACTGATTAGACAATCTGCTGGGAGACAGCAAAGCACTCCTCTCCCTCTGCAGCAGCAAACAGAGGCTGGGGCTGGGGCCTATGCTGTCAGGCCTATGCTCCTTAGTGTAAATTGAAAGTCAGAGAGGGCTTTATAACCTTTATAAATGGTTTAACCTTTCAAATGCTTCATAAGACTTAATAACGGCTTTTTATCCCTCTTTAGACACTCTGGATCAGTAATGATGATAGTGGACATACGTCTGGGACTTTCCCATTAATAAGTGCTCATTTGAGAGTAGCAAACAGTACATTGTCCTGGTTTTTATAGTCAGTGTACCAGACATGAATTTCATATTTAGTTATGTGTATTGTAGTTGGCACTATAGATACTGACTAAGATACTTTGGATGATGAGAGATCATAGTCTAACCTTTGAACAATGGGCAGGCAAAAACTAAGTTATGCATCGTCTAGCATTTACTCGCAATCCTCACTGGCTTTGTTTGGAACTCAACATCATTCATGCAACTTATTTATACTCAGGAACAGAGCAGGAATCCTCTGCAACAGCACAATGATGACCATTTCATCTTCCATTACCACAATTGTTTATTTACTTGAGGGAATTTTCCTTTTTATATATATATATATTTTTACTTCTCATCTCCCCCGGCAACACAAAATATTTTCAAGCAATCTGGATATGCCACATTTTCCTCATTAAAGATCTTAGTGATAAAGCATATAATTTACAACTTACTGTAGGATACATTGCTGCTTCAGAGGAGACAACTTAATTCATTACTTTGACTCACACACTTGCACATCACTCTCACACAAGTAGCAGGTGATGGCTCTCACCTGAACACTGTTGCAAAGGTAATAATAATTATCCCACAAAATACCCAGTCACCTAATTCATCAAACCACTACATGGTTATCCATCTTTGTATTTGTACTCTGTGATCTGTAGCTACAGGTTCCCATGCATAGCATAAACAGCATAGATGGGCTTGTAACTCATATCCTGCCATAACCACTGTTATGTTTGTGGTGAAGGCTGTTTCCTCTAGTACTGAGGGGACAGATAAAGTCGCCTGGCCTGGCTATAAACCAGATCTTACATCAAGTGTTGCATTAATACACCTGATGTAAGATAGACGCTTATATGAAATCCCGCTATGCCCTCCAAAGAACCATCAAACATGCAAAGAGTCAATACAGGACTAAGATTGAATCGTACTACATCGGCTCCGACGATCGTCGGATGTGGCAGGGCTTGCAAACTATTACAGACTACAAAGGGAAGCACAGCCGCGAGTTGCCCAGTGACACAAGCCTACCAGATGAGCTAAATCACTTCTATGCTCGCCTCGAGGCAAGCAACACTGAAGAATGCATGAGAGCATCAGCTGTTCCGGATGACTATGTGATCACGCCCTCCGTAGTTGATGTGAGTAAGACTTTTAAGCAGGTCAACATTCACAAGGCCGCAGGGCCAGACGGATTACCAGGACGTATACTCCGAGTATGCGCTGACCAACTGGCAAGTGTCTTCACTGACATTTTCAACATGTCCCTGACTGAGTCTGTAATACCAACATGTTTCAAGCAGACCACCATAGTCCCTGTGCCCAAGAACACTAAGATAACCTGCCTAAATGACTACCGACCCGTAGCACTCACGTCTGTAGCCATGAAATGCGTTGAAAGGCTGGTCATGGCTCACATCAACACCATTATCCCAGAAACCCTAGACCCACTTCAATTTGCATACCACCCCGACAGATCCACAGATGATGCAATCTCTATTGCACTCCACACTGCTCTTTCCCACCTGGACAAGAGGAACGTGAGAATGATATTCATTGACTACAGCTCAGCGTTCAACACCATAGTGCCCTCAAAGCTCATCACTAAGCTAAGGACCCTGGGACTAAACACCTCCCTCTGCAACTGGATCCTGGACTTCCTGACGGGCCGCCCCCAGGTGGTAAGGGTAGGTAACAACACATCTGCCACGCTGATCCTCAACACGGGGGCCCCTCAGGGGTGCGTGCTCAGTCCCCTCCTGTACTCCCTGTTCACCCATGACTGCATGGCCAGGCACGACACCAACACCATCATTATGTTTGCCAACGACACAACAGTGGTAGGCCTGATCACCGACAACGATGAGACAGCCTATAGGGAGGAGGTCAGAGACCTGGCCGTGTGGTGCCAGGATAACAGCCTCTCCCTCAACGTGATCAAGACAAAGGAGATGATTGTGTACTACAGGGAAAAAAAGAGGAATGAGCACGCCCTCATTCTCATCGACGGGGCTGTAGTGGAACAGATTGAGAACTTCAAGTTCCTTGGTGTCCACATCACCAACAAACTATCATGGTCCAAACACACCAAGACAGTCATGAAGAGGGCACGACAAAGCCTATTCCTCAGGAGACTGAAAAGGTTTGGCATGGGTCCTCAGATCCTCAAAAAGTTATACAGCTGCACCATTGAGAGCATCCTGACTGGTTGCATTACTGCCTGGTATGGCAACTGCTCGGCCTCCGACCGCAAGGCACTACAGAGGGTAGTGCGTACGGCCCAGTACATCACTGGGGCCAAGCTTCCTGCCATCCAGGACCTCTAAACCAGGCGGTGTCAGAGGAAGGCCCTAAAAATTGTCAAAGACTCCAGCCCCCTAGGCAAGCGGTACCGGAGCACCAAATCTAGGTCCAAAAGGCTTCTTAACAGCTTCTACCCCCAACCCATAAGACTCCTGAACAGCTAATCATGGCTGCTCGGACTATTTGCATTGTCCCTCCCTCCCTCCCACCCCCTACCCCACCCCCTCTTTTACTCTGCTGCTACTCTGTTTATTATCTATGCATAGTCACTTTAACTCTACCCACATGTACATATTACCTCAATTACCTCGACTAACCGGTGCCCCCGCACATTGACTCTGTACCGGTACCCCCTGTATATAGCCTCCCTACTGTTATTTTATTTTACTGCTGCTCTTTAATTATTTTTTATTTTCTATTTTTTACTTAACACTTTTTTCTTTTTTCAAAACTGCATCGTTGGTTAAGGGCTTGTAAGTAAGCATTTCACTGTAAGGTCTACACCTGTTGTAATCGGCGCATGTGGCAAATAAGATTTGATTTGATTTGATAATAACAACAGCTCAGAGTGAGATGGTGGAGGGCTACACATGAATAGCACAATCCTACTACTCAGCATACAATTTTGATGGAAACATTTTTTACTCACATTACTAGGTGCAAGGGCAGCAATGCTAACCCAGAGAGAGTACTGTGGACAAGAGAAAAAAATGCAATGTGTAGTTCAGAAGAGTAATCACTCTTAGAAATGGTCAGTAGGTAATCATGACACTAATTCCTGAAGAGGACAAATAAGGCTTGAATAGTAACAGTGAATAGGTTGTTTACTAACCTGAAATAAATGAATGGCTAAAATAAGTTATCTGGCCTAAATACCTTTAGTCAATATATAGGGTACTAAGATGACAGTTTGATTAGAAATATATGCTTGTTCTTCATCTTGGGCAATTGCATAATGTTTTAAATATTCGCTTCTGATTATTCTTGAATTTAGTGGCAATTGATTGTCAGTTGTATGTTGTCAAGGGGATTATGTTTGTTGAATAACCAGCTATCAATTGCTTCTAATATTTTAGAGAACCTGTTTTGCACAGTGATGACAAGGTAACAATGAATGTATGAAAAAGGATAAACTGGGGATATTTAAAACATGAAAGAAGCAGCATTATCTGGCAATGAAAAAAAAGCTGGAGAAAGAACATACCTGAGCAACATGTCTCTGAGTCTTCAACACGTGTTCGGGAGACAAAACTCTTCAGATTGACACAGTAGAAACATAATAATCCTGGTAGAGATGAATAAAAATACTTTATATTCACTTTTGTGAGGACGACGGTGGACTTGTCCGCTTTTAACCGACCATTTTAGGGAGTGGATGTGCTTTCACTCTTTCTCTCTCTCTCTCTCTCTCTCTCTCTCTCTCTCTCTCTCTTTCTGTGTTTCTCTCTCTGCCGATCTCTAGCTCTCTGCTCTGCTACACAGACAGTCCCCAGCATAAAAGGGATGTCTCTGCCTCCGATGTAAGCAACCTTCCTGTAAAACAACCACACCACATGCTTCTACCCTTAATAAAACACTTGCACTCTGACAAAAAAATCCCTTTTTCCCCACAAGAGAAAACCGCAGACCAAGGACACGACATACCCCCAAACAACCCCTCGTTACCTTTCAAAACACAGGCAAATTAGTCTTAGCTATGATGAATAGATGTTTAATCTACATGTTGTCTACATTCTTTGACTAATTAACCATTATTACTCGTAGACATGACACAACATGATGCACAAATCCTTATACAAATCTAGCTGATCACGAGTCAGCGAGTCAGCTTCGTACCAAACCCCCATAAGAAAGCTTCCCTCAGAAGTCGTTTGAAATGAGAGGTTTGTGGAGTGTGAACTGGAGCACCTGGAGTTAAACCACCCTGGTATTGATTGCTGTTAGAGAGGGCCCTGTGCAAG